GAGTCATGTACGTCACTTTTAAAGAAGAAAAAAAAAAGTGAAAGCGTGGATGACGACTGTATTTCTAATTAAATTTGAGATGTTTCATCATATTCAAGTTTATGTATATATAATACATATATTGATGTGACTATTAAAATAATAATACTAGAGTTTATTTAGGCAGCTGTAATGTTTATGTTGAAATTTTCATTGATTATGTTATATTCGTTCAGCGTATTAAATTTATTTTTTTAATTCTTTTTAGGTCTAGTTGACGAATAGACACATGTTTTACTCATACAAATTATTAATATCAATTAATGATTTTCCAATCTTGATGCAATTTTGATTAAATTGTTGTAATTTGTAGAGAGTGTTTGTACAACTTCAATTCTAATCCCTAGTGATTTACACTAGGGATGACAATGGACCGGAAAAAAATGAGTATTTGTCTAAACCCGTCTCATTTGGATCGGATATGAATTATACATAATGGACGATGGACGTATATGAGAATATCCGTATAAACCCGTACGGGGATGAACATACCCATAACCCCGCCCGTCCCCGTCCCCGTCCCCGTCCCCGCAATACCCATTAAAAATATATATATATACTCCTAGTTAAACCCTAACTGCTAAAGAGAAGACCAAGGCCAAGCAGATGCCCAGACTCTTGTTTGTTGAAGCCATTGTACTGCTAGCTGCTAGATATTGATGAATTAAATGATTTTGAAGGCACACACATTCCATCGTGGATATTGAGCTTTATATAGGAAAGAAATCTATGCATTTATGTGTTAAATATATATTTTATGTAAATCATTGCTTATATATTACGTGCCTGATTGTTTACCTTTCGGCATGAAATTCCCTTTTGTGCAGATTGTTTGCAACTGTTGACACTAAATTAAGAAGTGTAATTCTTCCATCAGGGTACTAATTTTTTTAGTTTTTCTTCTCCGTGCTGATGAAAATTTAGTTAAATGGAAGTCCTGCACAACTATTTCTTATGATAATTCAAATGATATGATTAAGTGTTCAATGCTCAGGAGGAAAGTGCTTCTTAGTGATATTTTGGACATTTGTTAATTGTATTAGGTTGAAATGTTATGCTATATTATATTGTGTACCACTAGGAGACTAAGTTACATTATTTAGAATGTTGTTGGATTATTTAAAATGTTGGATTTATTTAGAATTTTGGATTGTGTTGGCTTGAACTTGGGCTTGGGCAAGTACGGGGAAAGCGGGGACAGGAATTAGAAATTTACTCGAGGATGGAGATGGGGATGAAAATTATACCCGTTAACGGGGGTGGACCAAGGATGGACGAAGATTTTTTAAGCGGGTACGGGAATGGAGAGTATATCCCCCGCCTCTGCTTCGGTCCATTAACATTCCTAATTTACACGATGAAATATTTTTTTTATGATCTACATATTATTTATTAATGTTGGTAGATGTAAATTTAAATTATTTAATTTTAATAGTAAAAATAGAATTGAAACTTGAATGTAACGATTGATGTTAGGTGATCTATAGAGGTACATGTCAGTTAGTACCTAATTTTGATTGATTACATGATATTTAATTATGAGCATTTATTGTAATATCTCAGTTTGAGAAATACTATAGATTAAGATGGATGATTGTCACCAAAGTGGTCAATTCATTAAAATTTGTAGATTCTTCTCATATTTTTAGTTACGGGAATAATCTTTAAATTATAATATACAATTACTTGCCTAAATGGGGTTATTGTGTATTTTAATTTAAGGACTTCATAAAAATATCCCGGTTCAAAAAAATTCTATGGATTGAGATGGATGGTTCCACCAAAGTGGCCAATTCATTACAATTTGTAAATTTTTTTCATGCTTTTATTACATAATTGTCTCTAAATTATAATATATAATTACTTGCCCAAAGAGGGTTATTGTGTATTGTAAAATTAGAGATGTCATGAAACATTGTATTAAAGATACAATAGTCTAGAAGGTTTATCTGTCTGAAGGGGATAAATTTTTTGAAACTTTAGCATTCTCATTAGTTAGTTTTAAGAAAGAGATGACCTATATCATATTGTATTTTGTGCCCAAAACGGGAGTTTGCAGTGATGTATTTAGACTTTTTTAATAAAATATGATTTTTTATGTTCAAAACATATTTTATTTATTAATTGTCCCAATTTTGCTAATTGTTTTTATTCTCATTGCCTTGAACAGTCTCTTTTACTATGAATAATAATAATGTCAACATTGAATTCTTGACTGATTCTAATTATAAGAGATGTAGGCAAGATATTGAGTTTGTTCTGAGAATTGCTGATATAAACTTTGCCTTAAAAGAGAATGAACCTCCTAAACCTACTAGTGAAAACTCCCATGAAATAAAAGAACTTTATGTGAAATGGGAGAAATTTAATCAACTGAATATGGTTGCCATGAAAAATTCTATCTCTAAACACCTTATGAGTGGTTTACTTGAAACCAAGAATGTCGAAGGATTCTTTACCGTTGCAGAAGAGAGATACAAGGTATTCAATAATGCTAAATCTTGAGGCCTAAATAGAACTAAAAAGTATGAAATATGATAATCTAAGTAGTGTTAGGGAGTATATCCTTAAAATGGTCTATGTTCAAACTAAGCTCAAATCTTTCAAAATTGTTGTTTATGATGATTTCATTGTTCATCACACTCTTAACTTTTCGTCTCTTGAGTTTAGTCAAATCAAAACTAGTTATAATACTCAAAACGAGTCTTGGACAATAAATAGCCTTATTTCCAAATGTAATTATAAGGAAGAAAAAAATTAGGGAAAAAAAAAGAGTGAAACTGCCTTATTTGTTTCCCAGCCTAAATTTAGTTTTGAAGATGAGTGTCAAGAAAATAATAGAAACCCTAATCATAATGCTCAATGAACGGTCGAAATTTTAAAAGACATGATACTTGTCAAAATGTAAGAGATTTTAAGGTTGTCATTCGAAAATATGTCAAATATTATTTTTGCAAGAAATGAGGTCATAAGAAAAGTGAGTGCACTCGAGTCTTAGTTAGAAAAGAAGAATAAAAAAGAATGTAACTCACTAGCTTTTGTTTGCTTTAAATCCAATTTGGTTAAAGAGTAATGAAGAGAGAGGAAGAAAGAGAGTAATGGTGTGAAAAAGAGAGAGAGAGTGTGAAAGAATAAAAATTATGCATAATTTAAAGAAGGGTAAGTAAGTAATATAAATAAACGGTTATCATTGTGTACCTAATTACAAAATGTTTTAGTGAAAAATGAACTTAATAGACTAACAAAATTATTCATGTACTTCATCTCTAATAAATTAAAAAAAATATACTCACATCCATAAAACCCTGCAATAAAAAAAAAAACATGGGCTTTTGGCCCATATATGAATATGACATCAAATTTAGAGGTCAATTACATTTATTAATGAACAAAAAGATTTACAAGAAAAAAAATCCTAACAAGTGACATCATCAAATATCTGTTCTCAAAGAAGTTTAATAAGCATTTGTCTCAATTCAAAAATAAAATCAAACCAAGCATATTTTCTATTTCTCTCAAACTCAATTTTTTTTTTCATTTAAAACAAACACACTAACTAAATCATACATTCTCACAAAAAAAAATATATTGATGTTACTCATAATAATTAAAATATAACAAAAATTTAGGTAAAAATTGCATACATAAACAAGGAAAATATCATAAAAAATTAAAAGATAATAAAATAATTCAATAAAAAGATAACAATTAATGTGTTCATAATTAATAAGGTTGATCATATAATATCACAATTTCAATGAAAAACTTACAAAACAAATAAGAAGAATATAAAAATATTAGTTATTGCATGTGCAATCAACAATAAACATATTTATATTCACACTTAAAATCAAATCACAAATATAGAGAAAATAAAAGAATTTAAACACCAGTTGTAGTAGAGGTAAACGGTGATAGTGGTGGTGAAAAACGATGATAGTTGTGGTGGGTGGTGGTAACGGGTGATGGTGGGTGTTGACGGTGGTAACGGTAATAAATATAATAATAAAATGATGATAATGGTAGGTGAGGGCGGTGGACGACGGTGGTAACAATCAGTGGTACGTGACAATGGTGGTGATGGTGGTGGTGGTGGGGTGGTGTTGGGGGGTGATGGTGGGGTAGTGGGTGATGGTAGGGGTGGTGGCTGTGGCGATGATAATGATAGTGGGTGTAGTGGTAGGGGTGGCATAGTAACGGTGGCGATAGTTTAGCGGTAGTGGTGGTAGTAGGGATGGTGGCGGTGAGGGTGATGGTGGGCGGTGGTGGTGGTTGTTCTGACAGAGGTAGTGATGAGGTGACAACAGTGGTGATGGGGTGGCGACAATGGTGGTGGTGGTGTTGGAGAGGTTTCAAACACTATTTTTTTTTGTATAAGTACTTATGAGAAATATAAGTTTTAAAAGTACTTTTAAAAAGTCACCCAAAATATATTCTAAATGACATTTTTTTTTATTAAATTTGGGGTGTTAATATTAGTCGTCGAATTAAATTTAAAGAATTTTCAACTGTAAAAATTAAAAGTCATTTTTTTTATCTTTTAAAATTTAAATTGTATTGTATTTTATTATATAAATTAATTAAATAATATATTATATTTTTATAAATATCTATGATAAAAGATTACACTATCAATCAAAAAAATACATTAGCCAAATTTGGATAAAAAAATTTAAATAGTAATTTTGAATCTCAAAAAGTAAAAAAGATTAATTTAAATTAAAAACTTAAATTATTTTTTTTAATTAAAAGACCTCAGCACCACTTATTGCCTTGGGCTTCACATGCTTTTGAGCCGCCCCTATTTATTACTAGCTCAAGGGTCTTTATACAATTACCCAAAAACTAAGAGGCATCACATAATTTTATCCAAACTCAGGGGTCCAAGGTAAAAACAACACGGGGAGGATGAAAAGAGTACAAAAAATTGTGACAAAAAAGCCAAAAAGGGTAAGGCATAGCGATTGGCGAGGGAAGACGCAAATAAGGCGGGTGCACAGGGCAGAGAAACTGACAGAAATAATGGCGAGCGCGTCTCATCTGACGGGAGGCTTCAGCTCTCTTTCTCTCTCTACTCGCCATCGTCTCTTTCACCTCCACAACCATTCACTTCTCTCAAACAATAACAATGATACCAAATTCTACAGGAGCACAGAAAGATTTAGTTTAAATGGCCCAATTACTGTGGGACCTTTCAAGATTCGAGCCATGTCCTCCTCGTTTGGTTCTCGATTGGAGGAGAGTGTGAAGAAGACGATCACTGAAAGCCCAGTTGTTGTCTACTCCAAAACATGGTGCTCGTGAGTTCCAAAATCTCAGGTCTTTGTTTTTGTTGTTGTTGTTGTTTTATTTAGTGTGTTAACGGTATAATGATTTTTGACTTCTTTGAAGATAATTTCGGTTGTCAATGGTGAATTATTTTTTGAATTACTGATATTATTATTTTTCGAAATAATGGTATTGGGGTGTCTTGAATTTGTGGTGAAGGTACTCCTCCGAGGTGATATCTTTGTTCAAGCGGCTTGGTGTGCAGCCAGTTGTTATCGAATTGGACCAATTGGGTGAGTTTAAACCTACAAGCCCTATCTGAAATTGCAGTTAAATATTCTCTTCTTGTGTATGAGTTTGCCCATTTTGAATAGGATTTGCAAGGGTTTTACATAATTCAAGGGAATTTGTAGCAAGGTTTTGGTTTATTGTATATTGGTCGATTCTACATTCCACTGTCTGAACAAAAATATCTGATGCAGTGATGTGGAAATATCTGGCACATGAAGCCACTGTCTGATAGATATTTTATATAATATAGATATAAATTAATCTTGATCTGTAATAGTGAAAATAGCTCTTATGTAATAACTTGGAATAATTGTTTTTCTGTGGATGAATGGAATAACAATTTATTCTAGGTTTCCTCCACAACAATTTATTATATGTCCTAATACACTGTAATGATGATAATTGAAAGTGAACTAGTGGCCTTTTTACTGTACTATGGTTGTTAAACATATGATGGCGTCCAAGGGTGGGTTAAGGCAATCGGAGGCTTAAAGCGAAAATATTAAATGATTTTTTTTTTTTTAACATTTTTTTTTTAAAAAAAATAATTTATTTTCAATTTATTATATGAGAGAGACTGAAGAAGGACGTTCTAGTGGTATTGAAAAAAATATTTTTACTTCTGTTTTTGTTGTTTATCGGAAAGAGAGTTTAATTTTATCTTTTTTTTAATGTTTTGTACTAATTTTTACACATAGAGAGAGAGAGGGAGAGTAGGTGTAAATATAAGTTGACTTTTGAGTACTTTCAACTTACAATTTTTAGATTTCTAATGTTACGAATTGAATTATGGATCCAAATTATTATAATAAAAATGTTGATTGTAAATAATATTTTGGGGACTTTTTTTTAGGATTTAAAATTTAAAGGATTTAATTTTTTTATGGGTTAGTAATGTACCTAAAAATTTGGGGCCTTCTAAAGCTAAAGCCCATGCTTTTTTTTAAATGTTGTTGGGCCGGCCTGTTGGCGTCCCTTAATAGTGGACGTGGTTACAAAAAAAAAAAAATCCAATGGTCACATTTGTTGAGGTGAATACTAATGGCAGTATGGCACCATGTAGTGGACCTTTTTTTTTGAGTTCATGCAGCTGCTCAAGGTCTATGTAAGCCAAGCTTGCTCACTGGTTGGAATAAGCTTTTGCATATTGAGTTCAAACTTCCTTGAAAATTAGTACCCCATTGCAAAGGAAAATTGAACAAAGACTTCCTTGAGAAAGTTTTAGAGCTTCTTTTTCCCTTGTTGGCGAATGTACATTGGATTTGGATATAAAAAGAGAATATATGGCAGGAAACATTCTGGGTGGTGAATTATATATGCCAGCTTAAGTTTCTGAAATTTGTCAGATTTGCTGATTATCACCAACTCTTTGACTCCTATTGTAACTTTTCTACCATTAGAAAAAAGAAAAACTTATATAAAGAACTGTAGCGGTAATAATGTTTCTAGGTGTTTGTTTTTTGAATGATTTTGTTTTAATTTGTTTTTCCACCGGGGAATCTGCTATTTTTTGTTAGAGGTATTGCATATTGACTCCATTTGTTGAAGATTTAAGTGTAAGTGTTCATATCCACTATTTTAACATATCGATCGTGCAAATATTGAAGAATTTTCTTCTCTCTCAGGTCCCCAAGGACCACAGCTGCAGAAGGTGCTAGAAAGGCTTACTGGACAACATACTGTCCCAAATGTTTTTATTGGTAAGAATTGCTTTCAGAATGCCGTATGTTAACAACTTAACATATACAAAACATATTTTTGCATGGAACATGGGATATGTGGGTTTATTTCTATCTGTTCTCTAAACAAACATGGTGAATGATTAGTTTTACAGTAGTAAAAATCTCCAAATACAGGCACTAATATGTAGAAAGCATTAGTAGTTTTCTTAAACAGAATTTCAAAAAGTAGGATAGAGAAACGTGTGTGTTAGTGATACACTCGATTTATTCAAGCCCACTGCATTCAAAACCAAAAGCCATTTTTTAAGCATGCCATACCGTTTTGATGTTACATTTTTACTCTGATATTCACTGAGAACTGTTACTGAAATATTTGTTCCCTCCCCATGACCAGGAGGCAAACACATTGGGGGTTGTTCAGGTACCTTCTTTAGCACTTTTCCCTTATGATAATAGATGTACTCTGTCAGAACTTTAATGCTTTTTTAAGTAAAATAATTCTAAGCAGTCCTCAGTTATGTCTTAAAATTTCTGATTTACATCCCAAATGGTAACAGTTATGTTGTGAATCTTCTAGAATGGCATCATATGCTTGACCATACTCTATTCCTTTAATTCTCAATAGTATCTGATTACTTCAGTCTGCCTGAGTGTTTGTCTACTAAGAGTCAGTCACTTGTAAAAGTTGCATGGCCAAAAACTATCAGAAGTGTAAGGCGAAAGAATTGGCAAAAAGATATTGACTCACCATCTTTTCATGGTGCAGATACTGTTAAGCTATACCGGAAAGGGGAACTTGAACCTTTGCTGTCAGAAGCTAGTGCCGGAAAGACAGAGAGCTAGGCTGCTCAACCTTATTATCCCTTCCTCAGATCTTTCCTATCCGCCCTTGGACTTAACAAGATATGCCATTTTTCTGTCTCTCTCAAAAATCTGTCATTTTACTCAATTTAGTGACGGTAATGCATGTCCCAATAACATTGCATAAACAATTCATGATAAAAGACCAACCTGCCTTCCATGGGGGCCTTGTCTGTTTTAGGTGCGTTAGAAGTAGAACCATCCGAATCTGGCAGTTTTTTTTTTTTTTTTTTAATATGAAGCTGAAATTGGTGCATTGTGCTTAACAATAGGTGCATGGCTTCTAAAAGATAAGTACAATTAAGGCTGGTTTTTATGTTGTGCTGTTGCAGTAATAATATCCCTTCCGTGTTGATACTAGGCTAACACATCATTGCGATCTGAAGGGGTCTTTTTCATCGCAGGGACTTCCTTAAAATTCTCTACCCAAGTATGTTGGTGAGGAAAGCTTTTCATCATCTAGCACTTTAATGTTAACTGTTTCTTCCATGACATCAAGCCATCATCCCAAGGCGTCTCATTCCCCTCCAAAAATTTTTTTTTTCAGAGACCTTGCTCGAGTTCAAATCAAGTGTACTGTACTTTCTAATCTGTTTGAAATGTGTAATCAAAGCCAGATGAATGGTCGTTTTAGAAGTAAGAAAACCAATAAAAACTTAACAGAAACAATTGAACGTCCAAACTTCCGAAATTTTGAGATCCTAGTTTAAGAAACATTATAATATGTTTCTTCTACTTCGATTCTTTTATTTAGAGTTATAGTTGTAGTTTTTTAATCATATAAATGCAAAAACAAGCATGTACATAATTCTATTATCCACATCTTCTATATTTTAAATTGAGCAAATAATTAATATTTCACTAAACACTGGGTTTAGGTTGAGTAAACTCAATGTGATCAAATAGTGTTACAAAGTCTAATTTTTTAAAATGATCAAACTCGAGTTTAATTTCTCGATAAGAAATGGATACATCAATTTCAATAATTGAAGAGCACGATTCTTGTTTTAAATTTGTTCTTTCTTTAGTGCAAAAGATTCGTATCCCAGAGGATTTAAGAAAAAGATGAACAACAATCTTCACCTTGTTAACTTTCTGCCCTGCATAATAAGACCAGACATAAGGTAGGACATAAACAAATGGAATTTATAGGCAAAGGAAGGTAGAAGATAGTCACGCATGTGAATTAGGACATTCTCAAACATAATATTAAACTAAGCCATGGAGGATGTTTATTGATCTATTCTTTTAGCACCCCAAACCTTGCTGTCGTGAGATCATCAACCTATTTTTCCTGGTTCCTCTTTTTTTCCGAGATGTATGGTCTATTGTGTTCTTGAATTTGTACCAAGCCATTGACATTATCTTAATATCATCCCTTATAAGCACCACTCCGACACTCTATTTCCTTCCCTTTGGAACTTCCTAAGGGAATTTGAGGGATTGCCCCTATAATTGAGATAATAAAATTAGAGAAATTCTAGTTTATAGCAAAAACATCAAATTAATAGGATCATAAACAAATATTAGCACACATTACATTTACTTGGTATGTAGCAGCAAGTGGATTGAGTCTAACCTTCTGGCAGCATTTATTGGCAACATTAAGTTTCCTCAACTTTGACCCTTAGAATTCAACTATAGCATTAAACACATTCAATCAAACATAGGCAGAAGCACAAATTCTAACATATCAGTCGGTGGATAGAGTTTCAGTAACATCTACATCAATTTAAGTGAGTCTGTTAACAAAAATATTAAACAACAAAAATAAAGCAATTCAAATCCATGATAGAAAACATAATACCAATCATAATACAAACCAGTTCATTAAATCCAGCAGTTATTAATTCATACCACGGTTCTCCAAAGTTCATTGTCGTTTTTTATTTCATACCATTGTACTAAATGCTAGATTTCAGTCAAGGATGTGCGCTACTTGGACATATATGAACTTCTATATCAGTGTAAAATTATTTTCAATTCTAATTCTGATTTTATTATTTTAATTACACATGTAATTACCCGATGGGATGATAGCTTCTGAATTTTGCAAGGAAAAAGATATTTATATATATACTTAATATTTTAACTAAGTCACAAACATTTATTCTAAATTTTATAGATAAAATTCAAGATCCAGATTCTAAAAGAAAAGCTATTAAACAATATTTAGAAATAAATCTAGAAGAAAAGAGACCTAATTTGTCTCAATCGTATTTCTTAAAGGAAGTCCTTAATAGAACTGAAAGTGACATGAGTAATAACTCACTCCATATAAAGAAGTTTTATCTACTATGGTTCAAGATTTAAAGTAAAAAGTTCATAATGTAAAAAAAGACGTAAAAATCATAAAGGCTAAACTCTTAATTTTAGAAAAATTATCACTTACAAATATATATTTGGCATACTGTTTGTGGTTTGCTTCAGGTTTTCGATACCATAGGTACCTCTGTCGTGTTAGGTTAATACTTTTACAACTAAGTCATGTTAGTGTTAGGTAGTTGAATTGTCAGGGTTATGTTCATTTGAGGGGTTTTCGAGGGAAGATTTCACCTTTTCTTTTCTGCCACAATCTATTGAGAAAATAGATTAAAAGCTCTAATGAATTGTTAGTTTTACATTTTTTTTTTTGAAATAATCTAATGAGCAGTCTTATTAGAGTTCCTGCCCATAAACTTAAACAGAATGTAAAATTAAATTGCACATTCTAGCATGTGTGTGATATCCCATTCACATATTTTTCAATTAGTTTATACGAATAGGTCTTTGGTCCAATGGTACTTCTTATCTTGTGAAAGTTTTGCCTTCTTGAAGTCAAACCCCCTTCCCCCTCCCCCTCCCCCTCCAAAAAAAAAATTGTAAAAAAAAAAAAAGAAAAAAAAATTTAGTTTATAGGTTTGCTTTTGTCTTTCGTTGCACTCTCTTCTTCTTGATTAAATACTAAATCTATTTTGATTTCTTTCTAGAGACTTTTTCTTCTTTATTTTTTTTTGTCGTTTCAAGTACAGATTCAAACTTTGAACTTTTCAAATCCTTTTTTCCCCGAAAATCGATTTTATTTGTCCTATCTTTCCGTAAGATCAATTCATATATTACTACCAGTTTTTATAGTCAGTTCTTTAGTTTTTTATCCTTAATAGAAGCTAGATAATTGTGTACAATTGTTAGAGTTATTCTCAAAATTGTTCAGCTATTCAAAGCCCCTTCCTCAAATCACAAGGCTATCAAAGATATTAGTATAGTCACAAAATTGCGGAATGAAAAGTCACAAAATTTAATGAAAATGCCTGCAATATCAAAGGGTTTGCCTTTTTTAAAAAGGCCAGATTTGCACATTGACAATAGCAACCTACACATTTTCTGCAGTAATCTTCAATTGGAACAACCAAATCCTCATATATACTATCAATAAAAAAACTTAAAATCACATGATTGCTTCTATTGGCATTATTTCAATTGATGTGCATATTGGTCTACAAATGTTGGACCCAGTATTATGTTATATAACACAAAACAACCACATAATTGCTTGGTGTTTCATGAGCTCCAGATAGTCAGTATGAAGGATTCATTGAGTTAAGCACAAGCCATGAGACCATTGAGTTTGTAGTTATAATAATTGTTGCCAAACCATACACGATAGATTCAATAAAACGATGTAGAAAAAAAATAACTCCAAATAAGACGCCCAAATAAAAATTTCATGAGTTCCAGATAGTCAGTACGAAGAATTCATTGAATTAAGTACAAGTCATGAGACCATTGAGTTCGGAGTTATAATAATTATTGTCAAATCATTCACGATAGATTCAATAAAACGATGCAGAAAAAAATATTCCAAATAAGACGCCCAAATAAGAATTCTATTTACAGAGAAATTTTACCAAATGGAGCAGTACACCGATGGTTGAGCAATGCCAAGACACAAAGCCTGTTGGCCTCTGAGAGAGGGGGAAGAAAAAGTGTTTGACCTCACAATGGTAAATATGACCTGAGAAATATGTGGAAATGAAATCAATGAAAATTTGGTGAGTAATTGTTGCATCCATTTCAATTTTTGGTCATTATTTCCTGGAATCTGTATAGCCTCAAATAGAGCATTAAAAGAAGAGAGAATATGGGTAGTTATCGCTGATAGAGAGAGAGAGAGAGAGAGAGAGAGAGAGTTGTTGCTAACGGAAGCAGGAAAAGGAACCGGTAGCCTGTGAATTTAGTAGAGTTGATCAATTAGGTTTAATATGCAATTAACTATTAAAAGATAAGGGTGTCATACTTGCATTGTTGAAGGGTAAAGATGGATAAAAAATATTTTTCACATAATATTTTAAAGTAGTACAGATAGAGTGTGTGCGTGTGTTTGTTGTGGGGGGGGGGGGGGGGCTCACCACGCCAACTATTTCCTATCACTGTATTGAAGAGGAGGATGTTACATTTAAATTACTTGTTGCAAGGAATAAGAGAGGAAAACTATTTCCTATCACTGTATTGAAGAGGAGGATGTTACATTTAAATTACTTGTTGCAAAGAATAAGAGACGAAAAGAAATTAGGGAAAAAAAAATCTGAGTTATATTGTATTACATTCTGTTTCAGTTATTTCAACAAAAGTAAACTTACTATAGGGAGGGAAGGAGGACGACGAGATTCAAACTTGTGATTTTAAAGTTTAATAGCACCCCAAGTTTTTCAAATTACACATTATACCTCTATTGTTTTTTATTTTCTCTTTTATGCCCCCCAAATTTTGGAAATTATATTTTATACCATATTATGGTCTTGATTTTACTTTATCCTGAATTATTAATTTGACAACTTTGCACCATTAAGTATTCCAATTGTGACATTTTTGGACAAATTGTCAAATTTTGATTTGGCATAAATTGATGAACTTTGAATTATTTTGGGTAGTGCAACATAATAGAATCAATAGTCTATATGTAAATTGAAATCAATGTGCTATTTAAGAGTGAAAAATATAATTCGATGAAGTTTTACCCTTTTCTTTTTTTTTTTTGAAAATGGACACATTACAATGTATGGTGTAAAATTAATTTTAATAACACATTGAATAAAAATTAAGAGATACACAATTATTTGGCCTCCCTTATAATAAAATTAGAGTTCCGCTCGTGCTTTAAATATTGAAAGCTGTAGTGGCTTTATTTTAAGGCTTTCTAGGATTTGCGACCTATTCTTTTTATAAAAAATTATGCATAATATGTTAACCAACTAGATTGAAGTATTGGTCGTGGAATTTGCTTATCCTATTGATCAATGCTCTACTGGTTTTATTGAGGAGATTGTAGATCATCTAAAGTGGGGCCCAAAACTCATCGTGTGGCTGGCTATAACTCGGTTGCATCAGCCAATGAATGGTGGTCTCATATATTTTTCATCACGTGATTGATTTGAACCCAATAGTATATGGTAACCTACAACATCTCTAATAATATCCTCTGGACTCCTTTGGTTGAAATATTAGAAACGTATAGATAAAATAGTACAGTCTAATATAATACATATAAATAAAAAATAAGATTAAATGGAATATTAGAATAATACGTAATTTATTTAATCCAATCGATTGTTTGGTTAAGATATTATTTCATGGTATTAATATTGAATTAACAAAAATATCATCAATCAGTGTTTGTTATATTGATTACAATTGAATTTTATCAATTGAGAGTTATAATAGTAAATGTGTAGAATAATACGTTTGACTTGAGTTTTAATACCACCTCTCTTGGTAATATTAAAATATCTCCATAATATATATCTATCGAATAATACTAGATGGACTTACAAATTAAATTTGATAATTTCAACAATTGAATAGGTAATCGGTAATAATGAATACTGGAACCCACAGTGAAATCAATAGTTGTAATTATCAAGTTTATTTTTTAAGTCTATGTAGCATTATTCTAAAAAATATACAATAACTATACAATTAATATACGTTTTTGAAATTAATACGATGACAAATTTACTTACTAAACAAAGTATTAAGGCTGATTAAATAAAAAAAATATAATTTAATATTTAATCTTCTAATAATACGTTTACCAAACGAGCCATCTATTTTTAGAGAGTATATTTGATAAAAATTTAAAATATCATGAAATTTTTTAGTCAAATTTAATGGACTATTTATTTTAGTAAAAAATAATTTTATAATTAATAATATTTAATAAATAATGTATAGCTCTCATCTTTTTATTCATCACAACTCTTACGGAAAAGGGGCAGAGAACTGAAGAAGAGAGTTGATCCATGCACTTTTTATAAAATACAGAGAGGCTTTGTCTATCTCGAATAAATCCTCGTGCTTAGTTAAAACAAATTTTTTTATTTTGTCGATATTATTATAGAGAGATCAATAGAGGGACGAGAGCGGTAGCTGTTAAACCGACAGTTAAACTCGTTGAAGCAAAAATGCAAAATTACATGTATCCATATTTCTTCGGAAACTGAAGAGACAAAAACGAAAAAAGAAAAAAAAAAAAAAAGGAAATTATTCTAGCATAATGGGTATGGAAGAGCGCACCGTGGCACTACTATGATCATCCAATTGATCTAAGCAACAAAACATCTGCCTCCTAGAGCACCGGCTCATGTTAGCACGACGGTGCTAACAAAACCGTCCCCTGCTAGTGGTGCTTCCCTGGGACTGGGAAAGTATTAAGCCATGAACACAGCGGCGCAACTTTCCTACATAGTGATTGGGTGCCCTACTTTCCATACCAACAACCACTTGGGATTTTCCTTTTCCCGCCATATCAACGGTCACAGATTGAGCTCTGTGTTCACATCTGTTATTCTCGATGCAACACTTCGCATACGACGCCGCAGAAGTCAATCTCACTCTGCAATCACCTGCTCTGCCTCCGATAAGCGCTCTCCGTCTTCCGAAATCAGGTCTCTCTCTCTCTCTCTCTTCCGAAGTTCATCGTATTTCGAATTTCTAATTTTGGAACTAGAATGATTAAGCATAAATAAGAATCACACGGAAATTGAAAGGGTTTCAGCTTTTTCTTATTGATAATCACCAGTCGATCGTTTCCTCAAGTTCGGACTATACTAGAGAGAAGTAAGCATTACGAGTTACTTCAATACTAAATGTTACTGTTTTTTCAATATGAATTTAGTTATTTTTGCTGTCCAGTTTTACTATCCTTAGGTATGGAGTAGCTATATCACACTGAGTAGTCTAGATACAATGTACAAAATGCTTGATAGTGGATGCATGGAAATTATAATCCTATATTTTAGCCTGATTTGAAGGGCTTGGCATCATTGGGGGAGAAGAACTAGTGGTTAATTGAAGTTCATTGAGACAGATTATAATAGCGTTTCAAATGTACAGGGATATGCTTGAAGTTGATCATTCTGTGAGTTCTTACAAACTTGATTGGGAAGTCATAGTGCCAACAAAGAAGAGGATTTATTGGCTCATTGTCAAGTATGAATTAATGGAACGACAGGATCCATAAAGATTTGTTGACAGCCTCCGGAAGCAATTAAGCTTACTGAGAGAGGGTTTTTTTTTTTTTTGGGGGGGTCATTGAGATTCTGGAATCTGACACTTTGACAGAGTAAGTGTCCTGATAGTCATGATCGTAGATATTGAATTATAATGTACAGTATCTTGTCTCTTTTGGACTGCCAAAGCAAGAACTTAATGTGAGAATTAAATGTACCAATGGAGAATTGAAATTCCTAATGGGACCAGAGTGTGTTTCCTTGTAGATGGAAATTCAGCAAATTATCTGAATTAAAAAATGAATTTGGCCATTATTATGATGATAGTAGGCAAGCATACACATCGATATGGCTGAAGTTGTGCTGCAGGAGCAAATAATAGGCCTGGCTTGTCTGTCTGAGCTCACCAATAGTATCTGTGTCTTGTACATTCTTTTATACCTTGAGTATTAGGTGCAGTGAACTTTTAACTTGCGACATATTATTGCTGTTGGGGTTATGCTATGACATGGTGTTCCTTAAATACATAATGAAAGCTCTGAAATGCAAGTAACAAGGTAGTTTCAAAAATGAGGATCTTATGTTTTGAGTTATAATCTTTGTTTCTTTTATTGAAATGCTTTTAAGAAGAAAAGCTTCATGTAATCATCATTTTATTTGTTCTTCAGTTCTGCAGCCAAGATACGGAGTGAAGTTCTTTCTCCCTTTCGGTCCGTTCGGATGTTCTTTTATCTTTCTTTCATGGCAAGTGCTGCACTTGGAGGACTAATAGCCTCTACACAACTGGTTGCTGCAGTGGCCAATTCAACTAAAGCAGCTGTAGTCCCTGACATTCTTAAGGGTCTAGGCATCGACATTGCAGCTGTCTTAATCTTTGCATTTCTTTATTCTAGGGAGAATAATGCTAAGAATGCCCAGTTGGCTAGACTCTCAAGAGAGGAAAGCCTCTCAAATCTTAAGCTTCGTGTGGATGAAAAGAAGGTTATCCCTGTTACCACTTTTAGGGGAATTGCTCGTCTTGTCATCCTTGCTGGCCCTGCATCTTTCATTGAGGAGTCTTTCAAACTTAGTGAGCCTTTCACTGAGGCCCTTCTGGAAAGAGGGGTGCTTGTGGTGCCCTTTGCTACAGATGGAGGTTCGCCTAGTTTTGAGTTTGAAGAGAGTGAAGAGATGAAGGAGATAACTAGCAAAAGGAAAAGGCTCTGGCAGCTGGTTCCTGTTTATATCACTGAGTGGGCCAAGTAAGTGAGTATATAATGAAATGTTAATTTTCCTCGACGTTGTTGCTACTCTCTCTCTGCTGCATTTTGTTGTTTTACAGGTAGTTAAGTGACTGACAGAACAAAGGGAAAAAACAAAACGAACTCATTTTTTGATATTTTAACAACAGGTGGTTAGATGAACAAAAGAAACTGGCCAATGTCGCACCTGGATCTCCTGTGTAAGTGTTCTGCAATCTTAGTGATATCTTTTTAACCTGAATGGCCTTGTGGATTGATTTTTCATTCTGGCAAATACATATTTTGTTCCAGCTCACGTGATGTATTTGAAGGCCTCTTTGTATATATTTATTTCTGTGTTCTTTCGTTCCTTGTTGGCGTACTATCAAACATATCAACTTGGAAAACAGTTTATTTCATTGGACAGTGTTGAGCAATATTGTTATCTCAGAAATCTGTTCATCCTTTAATATAATATTTATAAAATTGTTTGATCAACAAATTATGGTTCTTTCTGCTCATTCTGTAGGTATTTATCTCTCCGCCTGGATGGTCGGGTTCGTGGCAGTGGTGTTGGTTATCCTCCTTGGAATGCTTTTGTTGCACAATTGCCACCAGTAAAGGGAATCTGGTCAGGTCTCCTTGATGGCATGGACGGAAGAGTTCTTTAAACAATATTTCGTTTTACCTGATTTATGAAGGTTAGATTCTTCTTCAACTTCAATTAGTTGTAATAGCTCTCTTTAGTTCTCTATTGCAATAGAGTAGCTTTGCCTGAGCATTTGAAATCTTCATAGGTTTGTATGTGCATGTCATATGAGGAGATGTATATTTCCTGTACTTATTTGTTTCTGCTACTGTTCCACACCAAAAGCAACTTTTTTCTGTTGCTCAGATGTAGTTTGTTGGTGAGGATAGTGGAAGTGTAACTGGACTAATAAAAGACCATGTTGAAAGTAAGTTAAAAAATGATGCAACAAAATGCCTCAATTTGGAGCTCTTTACTTGATTTCTCTACCATATATTCAGTGACGTCTATTGTTACAAAATGCTCTTGCCTAAATGGGAAAGTGGAACTCAGTGTGTGCTCAATGATGACAACAAATGAAAATCTTTTTGGTGAAACCTAAATGTTGGTTAATAGAATTTTACTAGAATTCGGGCTTATGTATTTAGACCTTATTTGTGCAGGACTTGAGATCCTTCAAAGCTGCTGAGGACAGCACCAAAGTGAAGCATTTTAAGCATCCAGGGGAAAACAATAGATCTCTACTATTATATCTGTGAGTCTGACAATTTCTACTTCCGAAAAATGGGCGCTCTAGTTGGAAAATTGTAACTTACCATCTGATTTTATAAATTATTCTTAACGAGCGTCTATCTATTTGTCATGTTAATATCATGAGGTGTGCCTGAAGATTGTTACTGATAACATCTACTGATTTGATGTGATTTTGAATAATTTTTCCATGGCGAATATGTTGCAATAGGATATGTTTTAGATTTTAAGTGCTTTGCTTCTATGAGTACTGCAATAGGTTTTGTAATAGTGATCAAAAGATAGAATAAGATAGAAATTGCCGAGAAAGTATGATACACATTCATACACAAGCCATTTAGCTAGAGATTAATTTGAGTAACCAGGGTACTACAATCGCAGGGTATGACTCATACAAGTTCTTTGACCTCATCCAATGCATAGTTGTTTGTGGATACATTGGCATAATTTACTTTGTTGAACCGCACAACAACTGGGTAGCGACTTTTTGGGTCCTGCAATTTGCGTAAAAGTATGAGTGTAACACACTCAGTAATGTGAATATCAACACACAAACACACAGAGGCAACGTTAAATTTAAGAAGAAACACACCCACAACACAACCTATTTACCTGATCAACAGCTACAACTGAACCAATGCCATTGAACCAATAGGACTCCTTCCTAAGGATTTTGACCTGTGGATGGAAACAATATGTATTGATCAATATTGTTCTAACCTACAAACGCAAGGAGAAAAAAATAGTCTTCTGACCTAATCTTGTTTTTGTTGAGTTGTATTGTATTGATGTTTTAAATGGTACTTTTAACTACAAACATACACATGAGAGAACATGTTAAATGTACTCGTTTATATGGATAAATATACAATCATTCAATTGATGAAAAGATCAACTTTTCCTGATAGTGATGAGAGAAGATATTGAAATTGAACAAAAAAAGGACCCTATGCTTTACAATACTCGGTTTCTATGCTTTACAAATTGCTACTTTTTCTCAGATGAACAGTCTAAATGTACATGCAATGCTTTGGTGCCATGCAGCTAATTATACATGTAAAGAAGTATAATATAAGCTGTGAACTAGTGGTACTCGCTTTAGTTCCTCTCTTGGGTCCAATCGGAGGTGGCTTGGCTGCCGCTTCACCTGCTGGTGGAGCCGTAGTGGTGGCTGCTGGTGGCGCTGCCTCCTCGGCTGCCCGTACAACCAGCCTTGAGTTGGTGTTCTTGGAAGAGAACAATAACATGCTGTTCCGGGGAGTGCTTGTGTTGGAGATCACATTAGGTTTAGTACAAACCCAGACGCAGCAAATGCCATATTGCAGGTTGACATGCTCTCTCTCTCTCAACTCTGAACTCTGAAGAAGCAGCAAAGATATGGATCAAAGGTTGATATGGTGAGATGAACAAAACAACAAAGGGAAAAAGCAAGTTTTGAGACTTGAGGGGCTGAGTTAATTGGATATCTTTTTTCCTGGATGATGATCAATCTACCAAAGGTATCTCAATTGCTCCAGCCACTGGCATGTTGCCATGTGTGTACCCTATCCCATTCTTTTGGATAATGTCATCCCAGCTCTCCTCTCGTTATTAACTCGGCCTTAACTTTTTTTTTTTTTTTTTGGTTAACTGATTTACCAGATTTACGGCATTACGGTAGATCTTTGCAACAGTAATATTTTTTTTTTTTGAACGTTATAGGGAAATACTTGGGAGATTCAAGTGACGTTATTCAATGATTCTGTTTGGATTTTGATTTTTTTGGGTGAGAAATTGTGGTTTGGAAAGTTTTGTAAAAAAATCAGATTTAAAAAAACCCTCAAAATCGTTTTGGGGTGTTTTTTAAAAAATTGAAAAAAAGTTAAAAAGTCTGTTTTTAGTTACTTTTTTTGATTTTGTGTGAAAATAAAAAAAATTTAATTACATATATGTATCAATTATATATATTATTTTATAAAATATAAAATTAAATTTTTTTACATCACTAATAATATTTTATGAATATGATAAACTAAAAAGTTATGTGTAACCTATGACAAAATTCCAAAAAGTCAAAAAAAATTAATAAAATCAGTTTCTTGAATTAACTTAAATAAGTTTTTTTGGGTCAACAAAGTTGCTGCATAAGCTAGTAAAAAAGTTAAGGTTTAAATGGATCTAATTTATTTTATTCTCAAACCCTTAAAAGCTACCTATTTAAGTTTCAAACAGATTTAATATCACTAGTAGATTAGTTGTGAATTTTAAAGTTAAATATAGCCTATTTTTTAATCTAATAATTATAAATAAATAAATTTTAAAATTAAGTCTCTAAATTAGATTGTAATAATAAATTTTGTGTGTAATATTAACACAAAAGTAATGTTAAAATTACAATTGTTGATTATTTGACTTTAAGTAAAAAAAAGTGTTGTTGACTCTCTTTAGCATACTTCTCATGTGCACAATCTCCTAATTCTCAATGTATTTGATGATGACAAGGGTCAGACTGACGTGTTTCCCGATCTTTAATTTTATGGTGGCTTCGACAATTTTGATGAAGATGAGAGTTTAATTAGCTTGATTTTCAACTTTCAATTTGGGGATGCTTTGATGAATATGTTGAGAGTCAGATTGACATAATTCTTGTTTTTCGATCTTTGATTTAATAGATTTGTTGGATTTTCTCACCGTTTTTTTATGTTGAATGGCTTAAAAATGATTCGAATATCTTGAAACAGGATCTTCGCAGTGTTTCTTCTCCTCATAGATGGATTTGCAAGACTTTAGTTGGAGGGAAATGAATATACAAGACTTCAGTTGGAGAGAGTCGGAGTTGGAGTAGGAGTCAGAGATCGACTTGCAAGATTTCTGTTGGAGGGAGATGGATTTACAAGACTTCAGTTGGAGGGAGGCTATGACAAAGTTTCATTGATGATTTTTAGAGCTTTCTTGATCTTCTCTCCTCCTTGTCTTCTCTTCTTCTTGGCCCTTTTCTTGGGTTACATTAAATCTCTATTTATAGTGGTAGAAGCAATTATCTACATAAAGTTGTAATTATCCATATAAATGTATTTTTATCTCAACCCTTATATGGGTTTTAGGTAGTGAGCTACCCATTAGTTTGTGGGTTTTAGTTAATTTATAAAATTTAAGTCCAACTCAATTTACCTTTTAAAAGTTTATTTAATTTGAGCCTATGCAATTTAAGTTAAGTTTAATTTAAATTAACAAGTCTGGTTAATTATATTTGGGTCCAATTGAAGCTTATTTAATTAAATTTAGACTTGTATCAAATTAATTAGATAAATGAAATTGGGTTGTACCTAAATTTCATAAGCCAAAATGATATATATATTAGGAGTTTTGGGAGTCTCTCAACGTAGTCTTGGTGCTGATCCTGTCTCCAAGTTCAACAAGAAATTTTACCTGGAACCAGTTGGATGCTCTAGAATTAGCGGACCATGCCCTTGAATCTTATTTTCGAATTGAAATTTCTTCTAAATTTTTTTTAATCCTTTCAAGACTAGATTATCTATCATATACAATTGGTGGACTTATTTATACTTGTGTATTATATATGAATTCATAATAGATAATCTACTTTTGGGTGAAATTAAAACTTTAAACATTGAAGCAGAGTTGGGTCTATTATTTTCTATCACCCATCAAAGTAAATAAATATAAACAGATGTGCTCTAAGAAATTCGGTTGTTATTTAAAAATTTGAATTCTTTCCATCTCTCTAATATTGGAGCTTTGACAAACTTTTGTCCAATTTGTGAAAAAAATCTATCTAACATTATAGCTAAAAAATTAAAATCTCAATTTGTAAAAATACAATAGTAGTCAAGATTAATTTAATTTTTCTTTATTTTAATCCAATTTTATAAAATTTATCTCATTTTTTTTGCTGGTGCAAACATCATCTTTTTTGAATGACCCTCAATATTAAATAGCTCAATTAACACACTTGTATAATTGTATACTAATTATAATTTTTTTTAAATATATTTTTATTTTTTAATTTTATTTCAATAAATGTCATAATAAAAGATGAATTTTGGTTGTAAATTTTAAAATATTTAATATTCTAAGTATAACATTTTAAATTTGAGAGATCTAAGTATTACATGCCTACAAATTTCAGGGGATTTGAGTGTAATTTACTAATGGATACTAATGATAGGGGTTTAAGGATTATGTGTGTACAAATTTCAGGAGTCAGTATATAATATTTCAAATGTTAAGGAATTTAAGTAATTAAGTGACAAATTTTAGAAAATATGAATGTAATTTTCCTTATTAAATAACTCAATTAATATACTCGCCAAAGTAAGACAACTCCACTAATTCACAATTGTTTCTTTCTTCTCTCTTTCATATCATTCTATTATATTCTCTCTATTCTCTTTAAATTTAAATTTAATAATAAAAAAATGTGAATTTGATCATTAAGTACATAATTTTTAAGTCATTCGAATTTGATCTATGTAGTGCTTATGAATTAGAAGAAAGTTCATTTACGAGTTTTGGAGTTACTTCTCAAATGTGTATCGGAAGTTTGACATTCACTTGGGAGTATAACGGTAGAATGTTCTCATTATTCAGCCTTACACTGGAAGGATGAAAAATTAGTCATTTCAACTTCATCACGTGTTTTATTTGGAACAAATTGTTTACAAAGAAAGATTAGGTTACCTTCACTTTTTACACCCCCTTCAGCACTTAAAGAGTTGTATGATGGCAATGATGATAAATCAAAGTCGTTTCGGCAACATATATGAGAATATAATGCAAACTAATGCTTTTATGAGTCTTGGTGTTACATTGGGTCCAAGATTACTAAGTGGAAGGGGTCCTATATCATTCATTATCCATGGAGAATTGTGCTATCGAACATGATTGCTCATACCACAAGGAGGTCATGAACCGATGTATAGTCAATTGTACATTTATGATCCTAATTTAGCTTTAGATTTTTGCAGTAGCAGAAATTCCTAGTTGCAAAGGGATGTTTTGAAAATTATTCAAAACTTTTTGTCTCATGTAAATCCATTCCCAGATAAATTTCATCAAACTTATGAGATTTTAAGTCAATAAGAATTAGCAGGTCAAAGTTTACCTGCTTATCTTTGTTATAATCCAGCACTAAATAAATGGCGATATAATATTCCTATGACAGATGAGCTTGCAATAATATTATCCAGAGATGGAAGTAAGTCAAGTGGTATGAGAAATATTGTTTTACATTTGAGAGGAAATAATGAATTGATGTAGATCAGTGAATGCCACCTGACATAGTTACCATTGCATTATATGTTATTGTTACCTCACGGTGAGCTAGGATGAAAACCTGGGTTGAGGCAGTGGGATCCTTCTCTTGATAGACCCTCAACTAATCGATTGATTCAGTTGCAATATTTATGTTATCGTTTGTTTGAACGTTCAACTAAATATTCGACAATTTTGAGAGGGAAAAATTATTCCAAAAGTTTTTGGTAGATGTTTAGGCTTTAACGGAACAAAATCGGTTGACATACTATAAATTTAATCAAGCAAAACTCTGTGCAGAACTTTACAAAGGCCTTACACATGTTTGTATAGATGAGTTGGGTCCACAAATTAGTCAACGGATGATTTTGCCACATTCCTTCACTAGAAGCGTAAGACATATATTTGAAATCTTTCAAGATTTAATGGCTATTACATGTTACAATCAACACCTAGATATCTTTCTCACCATGACTGCAAATCCCAATTGGCCTGAAATTTTTTCAGCTCTATTATCGCGTCAAATAGTTTATGACCGTCCTGATTTAATTGTCCGAGTTTTTGAGTTAAAGAGAAAATTTTCAATGAAGGAGATAGGAATGAAACTACTATTTTGAAATAGAGGTGACACATGTTTTTACAATCGAATTCCAAATACAGGGTTTGCCACATATGCATGTACTTTTGTTCCTTCATGGGCTGGATAAAATACGAACATGTGCCAGGTAGACAATGTGGTATGCGCTGAATTTTCAGATCTTGACGATAATTCTATTCTTTTTGATACAATCAAGAGTTGTATGATACATGAACCATGTGGTATCTGAAATTCGAATGCATCATGTATAAAAAATGATATATGCACTAAGAGGTATTCTCGAACATTTGTAGAATCAACCAATATAGACGAAGATGGATATCCTATCTATCGTTGTTGTGAGAATGGTTGTGTATACGATGTGGGGGGCTATCAAGTTGATAATAGGGATGTCGTACTATACAATCCCTATCTTTCTAAAATGTTCAACTGTCATATCAATGTGGAAGTTTGTGCGGGAATAAGATGCGTGAAATACATTCACAAGTATGTTTACAAAGGTCATGCTCGTACCCACTATGGTGTTGGGAGGAGGAAATGAGATTCAACAATATCTGGATGCTAGGTATATTGTACCTCCAAAAGCTGCTTGACGATTATTTGATAATCCTATGCATGAAGAGATTCCATCCGCTGTACGTTTGGAACTTCATTTACTTGGGATGCATCGTGTTGTTTTTAATATGACCGAACATCTTGATATAATCATTTCTAGGAGTGCACAACAGGATTCAACGCTGACAGGTTTTTTTAAATGTTGCGTTTCAAATGAATCTGCACGTGAGTTAACGTACAAGAGTTTCCACAAAAATTTACTTGGAATAAAAAAACTCATAAATGAAAACCTAGACAAAGGGGGTATGCAATTGGTAGAATGTACTTTGCTAGCCCAAATTCAATAAAATGATTTTACTTGCGTTTGTTATTAACTGTAGTCAAAGGACCAACATCATTTGACAACTTACGCACGATAAATAGTATTATGTACAATACTTTCAAAACAATATGCGTTTCAAGAAGACTTCTGGAAGATGATGAAGAATGGGTACAATGTATGCAGGAGGCTTCAACCATGAAAACGGGACACTAGTTGAAGAGACTGTCCAGTATTATTCTCACAAAATGCTCTCCGGAGCATCCACATGAGTTGTGGAATCAATTCTCGATACATATATGTGATGACCTACAACACAAGATCCGTACAATATTTGACATTTCTAATCCTACACAGGATCAAATTGAAGATTATGATATATTTCTGTTGGATTGGTTACTTCATAAGTTAGCCAAAAATTTATTTGACTTTCCACCCATGCCCCAACTGATTGGGAATTGAAATACAGTAGTTAGTAACAGACTGTTGTTTAAGCATCAATAGCTTCAACATGAAAGTGCAACAGTCGGATGTACAAAATAATGTTAATCGTCTAAATGATGCACAATATACTGCTTATACTACAATCACTTCATCAATAATTGAAAATAAAGGAACTACTTTTTTCTTTAGTAGGGGTGCTGGCACGGGACAAACATTTATGTATAATACAATTGCTAACAAAATGCACAATTATGGATATATCGTTGTTACTGTGACTTCATTCGGTATTGCATCTTTATTATTAATGGGAGGCTGCACAACACATTCAACATTTTACATCCCACTGACTGTGCTTGAAAATTCGATTTGTGGGTTTACCAAGCAACCGATGCATGCAGAATTGTTCAGATCAACTAAATTGATAATATGAGATGATGTTCCTATGCAGAATAGGTATTGTGTCAAGGCAATGGATCGTACACTTCAGGATGTCTGTGATAACCAAAATCCATTTAAGAGTATCACTGTTGTTCTTGGAGAAGACTTTCGACAAATCTTGTCAGTTATACCAAAAGAAGTCCCTGAGCAAATTGTAGGTGTGTCATTGAGGTGATCTGTATTGTGGAGGAATGTACATGTTTTGACTTTGGGGTTAGACATGCGTTTGACTAACACAAATTCTGAAAATGCTGAATTTGCAAAATTCTTAATGGAGGTAATATTTAATTGATCATTTGTTATATACCATATTATTTGGAATTACTATTATTATTCCAATTCTCTTATTTTACTTCTAATTTTTAGATTGGAACCAATCCACAAGAAAATTGTGGAACTTCCATCAATAATTCACAAGTGTCATACTCTTCAAGAATTGATATTTAAAATCTATCCACATTTGGATATGGTTGGTTCAGTGATCCTGAACTTTCTAACCGAACACACAATTCTTTCTACAAAGAATGATGATGTTAATGCTATAAATGTTGTAACATTGAATATTTTCCCAGGACAAACAATTACATATTTAGTTGCTAACAAAATAGCCGACGGTGATGTACTTGATCAATCCATCACGAATCGATATCGTAATGAGCATTTAAACTCATTAGACCCTTCTGGGTTACCACCATTTAGGTTAGACTTGAAGGTGGGGTGGGTTGCCCAATAATGTTGTTGAAAAATATAGTATCAAAGGATGGGTTTTTGTAATGGCAAGTAATTGATGGTTATCAGATGTGCCACACGCGTAATTGAAGCTCATATTTTAACTAGAGATAAATTTGATAATGTGATATTCATTCCAAGAATATCTTTGTCACCAACATCTCTAGATTTGCCTTTTTAAATGACAAGACATCAATTTCTTGTTCGATTGACGTACGCTATGACAATCAACAAATCTTAAAGACAATCTGTAAATTTCATTGGGGTCAATCTGCGCACACCAATGTTTAGCCATAGACACCTGTATATGACACTATCTAGATACACATATTCTAATCGCATAAGTGTCCTTCTTCTTGAAGATGGTCGAATTACACAACGAATATCGTTTATTCCGAAGTTTTGTTATAGAACTTCCTATTCGATTGCAAATAAATGGTATCATTTTATTATAAATTTATCTCTATTGAAGATGGAGAATTAAAATAATTAATGATTTGATTAACTTTGTGATTTAATATTTGTAGGATTGGTGTGAAATGACAAGAGATATGAAAAGATTAAATAAAACTATACTGCATCAATGGAGACGTGATAATAAAGTAAACTAAGTCTTGCATTCTTACAACGTAATATATTATTTTTAGATGTAATCAATTCTACTAAGATTTATTTTATTCTTCTATTTTTATATAATTAGTTGGTTGTGCATTCTCTCAACTTGGTGTTTACCGTATGTATTGATACATACACGCTCAAGAAGGTGACGAAGAAAAAATACAATCACAAGCTGCAAAGCTAAACCATTAGGTTAATGTTTATGAATAAGACACACTATTTTAATATTTTTTGAATTTAATTCATATGCATTGATTTATATTTGATATCTGCCTTCTTGGTTTAATTGTTGCATGTTTATGATTATCAAGAATAATAACAAGAACATTTTAATTATTCTATTTCTCTTATTGTTGTTGGTGTGTTGTTGTTATTATTCTTACAATATTAGATCACATGTGTTAGTAAAAAAAATATATTTTATTATTGTAATATTGGTTAACTATTGCTAATTTTATTATTATCAATTTAATTTGTAACTTTTATATTATGTACCGATAAAATGGAAGGCCCTCCTATCTATGTTCGTTGTAGTATGCGTTTGGCAGTATCAAGCATGGTAGATAAATTTGAAAATGATTCTTTTGAAGATGGAACCCCAATCTTAGAGTTTGGATTGAAAAAAATTAGATTAGGTCATATACTGCAAAATGTAGGGAAAAACATAAGTGAAGATTATATTATACAAAAAATAGCAGAAACTCTTCCCACCACCTGGAATTCTGCAAAGGAAAATTTTTTTAATCACGACTGACCAACCTGTGCAGTAAGATTTATACAATTATTAGCGAAAGTGAAGTGCAATATCCATATGTTGTGGATACAGTTTGAGATCGACAAAATGAACCCACAATCAAATGTCATTGACCATATATATATATATAAAATAATTATTTTATGAATTAAAACAAAAAAGTTTCGGTCTGAATAATCCAATTATGTTGTATGTTACTGTTAGCACGCTTCCATCTCTTTTGCCGATTGACTTCATTTCTACGAAGTTCAAGAATGACTTCCAAGATATGATAAAATTGGAATATCTGTTAGAAGATATCGAAAATGACTTAATCTGTTTACTAACATTAGAAGACGTGGAGGCTCAACTAAGAATCAATGAACATCAGAACCTATGACACGATACTTTTCAAGTAAATATGTTTTCTCAATCTTTTTATTATTTGAATGTGGATGAATTGAAAAAAATATTTGTATCTTTTTAGATAATGGAAAAACATCTAAATATAATATTTTTTTCAGGTTGTATTCATTTTTTTGGAAGCTGGTGAAATTTCAAATGACAAAACTTATTTTTTTGACAGTATTTGTGAACTTATTTTTATTATATAGATGATAACATTTGTGGACAATTTTTTGTTTGAGATATTTATTACATGGGTGGATTGAGTTTATAATTATATTTTATTATTAAATTTGATTATGGTAATGGTGAAAAATATAAAAAAGATTTTATTGATTTTATTTATTACTTAAAAGTTGTAAATTTGATTTGGTTTTGTCATTATTTTTTTTCCCTAATGTATTTGTATATGCAATGTTGCTTTGGAGAATTTTTTGTTCATTTTTTAAGAGTAATGCAGTGCTTTCAGGTACGGACAATTTATGTTATATTCTCTCTATTCTTTTTAATTTTAAATTTAATAATAAAAAATATAAATATTATACAATCAATGTTTAATTTTAATATTACAAAATATATTCATACACGAGATTATTACTAGTCCAATTATAATTGAGAATGAAAACAAAGGCTCTGTCAAGATAAAGTTCCTCGATATGAGTTTGGTCTTAATTATTTGGGTTATAAATGAATCGATTCATCAAAGTTATTAATGAAACGAACACAATTATATTCAACTATACTCACATATTTTACTATACACAACAATAAATTAATTAAATAAATTTTTGGATAACACGAATTCTTGTCAAATATATTACAACTCTTATTGGAAACGTGAGAATTGAAAAAAAAAAAGACTAAAGCAATAAACGGACCGGTCAGGTTTAGTTATTAGATTGTTCGTACAAAGGAACCGGACAAAACTAGATACCTGTCCGGTTTCCTAATAAAATCTCTGAATCGGACGGTTTATATCACATGCTATAAATTGCAGGTTTTAGGGCATTTGCCCACATTTCATTTCATCTTTGCCCTCCGACGAGGCGACGACTGGCCCTCTCTCTCTCTCTCTCTCTGCGGTCGCTGCACTCAGCTCAGCACATCACTCGATTGAAGACTCGAAGTGCTCAGATTCTCAGATCAGATCTTCGACTCACACAGCAGATCTTCATCTTCTTCATCCTTCAGTCGACAATCTGAGGCACATCAGGTATTACGGTTCTCTCTCTCTGCTATTATATTATGTTATATGTAGTTTTTTTTTGGGTCAATTTCAGATTTAGTTGATTTTTTTTTGTATAAATTTTGGCCTATTTCAATTTTCACCATTTATCAGATTACCAATTTCAATAATCATGCAATTCATATGAAGGACCTTGACATCCCATGAATGTATTCATAATTTCATATACATTGATAATTTATAGGTGGCTTAGAGATAATCAGAGAAGCATTGGAACTTTGGAAGAACTTACATAAATGCATCAAATGGCAAATGTCTACACTTAAGAGCAAATTATTGTACTTTTCATTTGAGTGTTTTATGTTTGTTAAAGATTGTAAACTTTTCACTTGTATACTGCGGTAAGAGCATAACTTTGAGGATTCTTGTTGTTCATTATATATATTTGAGTAGTACTGTTGTAAATTAGTTATTTGATAATAGAGGTAGTATTTGTATTTTCAAGTGGATTACAATTTACAATTATGCAATGGTTGGGTAATTTCTTTTGAGTTTTTTTTTATTTGAGTCCTTATGCGCGTGTGCTTCATTTTTTTTCATATGCCTTGCTTATGACAGTTTGAGTTTGAACTTTGAAGAGTGCAAATTGCATAGAGTATGCTTGGATTGATGCATAGTCGGAGACTTGGAGACTTGTACTTCAATAATAAATAGAAGGTGGATTAAATGTTGGGTTGTGACACTGAAAACCAATTGACTGGTTTCACAGTTGCACATCCTTGTCTTCTTAATAAACCAACTATCAATAGTTGCCAGTGTATGAACAAAGGGGTATAAATAAGTCCCTAAAAGTCACGATAAGGATTGCATTTCTCATCTTCTGCCGGTTAATCGGAAGGATTGGTCATGGAAGTTGAAATTTCAACTGACAAGCCCAGAGCTGCAGTAGAGCCTGAAACCACTGGATGAAAACTTGGGAATTGCTACTCTAAGTAAGATAGATTTAAGTAAATCAATGGCAACGTTATGAATGGGCAAGTTTGTCAAATGTTTACTTTCTGGTAATGGACTTTGTTGGAATTCTATACTGGTTCCATTCTTCCTTGCAATTATCTTTCCGTGCCTTTGCTTTTATAAAAGTGCTTTACTATTTATTTATTTCTTTAACCATGTCCTAACGTCTAAAAATATTTATGTTGCTAATTGTAACATCTAAAATATGTACAGTTTTTTTCCTTAGGCATGAACAGAGTGAAAAGAGTGAAATTCATAGATACTGAAGTTGATCATATTCTTAGTTCTAGTCCCGATGCTTCTTCCATACGATATGCAACAGCTCAGGTTCCAAGATGTAAGTATGTGTATTTTTTATTCCTTGCAATTTGCTCAAATATTTGTGGCTATAGTGCTTTTTTTGGCCTTAGTTATCGTTTTCGCCTTTGCCCTGGCTGTCACATTTTTTGCAGTTCCAAGTAATGCAGTATAATTACAGCTTGGTACTTGTATTTCAAATATTATATATCTGAAGCAAAAGTATAATGCAGCTGATGCCCCTAAAACTTCAGAATATGCATTCTTCTCAAAATTAAGGAAGAGCGCGGGTGGTAGTCATTCTCATCCATTGGGTAATGAGGACAACCAATTGAAGAGTGGCAAACCAAGTGACTGTAATGGAGGTATGTTGAGTTGTTAGTTTCTTTCTATTGTTCGATATCACTGTTTATTTTCTCCACTGAATCTATGTTTTATTGAATTTCCACCTGTACTGGATTTTACCAGCGAGATATTTATGCAGTGCAAGTTGGATTTACCGGGATCATAACATCATCTTGATTATTGACATATTGTGCAGCAATATCCAACAAGTTTAAACACAGCTCCAAGGACCTCAGGTCCTCGTTTCTAGCTGAAAAAGCAAGACCCACCAACGAAGACTCCTTCCTTGCATGTCTTAATGGTGAATCAAAGAAAGCAACTGGTAATATCCTGATGGCATTGATAGGTTCTGAATAATGCAGGCAGACTTCTCTACTGCGCTGTTTGTCTTTCCTTGCATTAGTATTTAGTACTAAAATATGCAGATATAGCTGACAAGGTCAAGCGTAGCTTCAAGGACTTCAGTTCCCCATTGCTCACAGAAAATGTCACACCCATTAATCACAATTTGTTCCCCTCAGCACATGGTGGTGCATTGAAGAACGCAGGTATTCAGTGATTGGGGATTTTAGATTCTCTTAAGATATATTTTGAGTACTAAGCTAGTATTTCTCCCCTTCTGTGGTTCAACATGAGCACTTTTGAAGGAAAGAGAATGAGATGCAACAACTATTATACATTTCCTCAATCTAATTCATCCATCCTTCTTATTAAAAAGTAAACTTTCTTCGGTAAATGGAACTTATACAATCTCCTATGGATTTGTGAACTTTCCTGGTGTAATAATTCCATTATGTCCAAAATGGACCATTTTCAAAAACGGTTTAATGATTGGAACACATATCTAGCATCAATGCATGCATGCATGCAACATTCCTTTATGCTGACCATGCGAAGGCATTGTGTAGTGGAACACAACTGAGGTCTTCCAAATATTTTCAGGCAACTGGTCTGAGAAAGGAGTCTTTTTTGCAAAGAGGCAGAAGTTACGTCAGGGGGTTTCTGATACCTCCTTGCCTGAGGTTGACGAACTCTGTTCTAAGGGGTTAGATGCATCACCTTTTTAGAATTCTTAAGTAACATTTATAAGTATTATCTTGGATTCAATTAAGACTTTTCTCTCAGGTTAGATTTGGTTTCTGTGCTCCTTAGTCGACTGCTCCCTGAGGGCAATGAAAACAATGTATGATCTTTCATCTTCTGTTTGTTGACTCTAAATTTTTTTTGTCCCTTGGTTATGCTGAATAATTTTTCCTTACTGGCTAATTTTTCCTAGCAGTATTGCAGGAATCCAAAGTCAAAGCAAGAGGACAGTGATACCACAAATCAGATAGATAATTTGTATGAGTCGGACAATCTAGTCAAAGGACTTGATTGTACTCATACAAAAAACTTTAATGAATACCGACATGGGTCCTTTCAGGATGATGTTTTTCCCAGATATTGGTCCGACATAGCCAGAGAGAGTGTCCTCACAGAATTGGATGGGTAGATTCAGACTCTCCCTCAGCCAGCTATGGCAAAATTCATTTTCCATACGAAGAGAGGAATTATGATCGTGATTTAGATGGCAGGAGAACTTCTACTTTGTGCAAAAATAGAGATTCATCTTTTTGCTTATCATTTGGAAATTATGGATCTCATGAATTGAGTCATCCCAAAGTGATGAATGAATTCCGTGAGTTGAATGGTGCTGCACTTGAAAGAGATCCACATACTCTTTTTCTGGGTTGGGACTTTGAAAAGGAGAAGAATGAAAGAGAGTTATCCCTTGCCTATCACAATAGAGAAATAAACTTGTATTCCACATTGCTGGCTTCATGGGATGATGACCACCAGGAGAATCTGTTTGACAGACTTGATGCAAGTCCACCGTGTTCGGCATCCTTATTTTCCAAATATCCTATGAACTTTTCTTCATTGCCACATCTCTATTCAGTCAGGTTTCCCCGTCAGGAGTTTAGAAGCCAACATGAAGACCAGAAGCATGTATTTGTAGAAATGGATCAGTTCCCGTTAACCATATCATGTAACCCACCATATCCTAAGCTGGTGGAAGATTGCAATGCTAACAATATATTTGAGAGTAAGAGCATTATCCTCTCGCCTCAAAATCACTCATTGTTTCCAAGCAATTTTTACAGTGAAAAGTATTATCCTGGTTTGGAAGCCATCCTGCTTCCCTCCGGAATGGATATTGATTTCCGATGGAGATGCTTATCCATGACTGAGTCTCCTACAAATCATCATTCATCAACTTATGGTGCTTCATTTCCACAAAGGGCAGGCATAAGCATGAATTCACAGCTTCTTGCCGAGGAGAAAAAAGAAAGTAGCCTGCATAGCTTGAATCCCAGTAAAACCACTACTCATTTCTTGGAAGGTACTCTAAACACTCATGACTGGTCCTCTGTTAATTTCCAGATATGTCTTGACAAGAAGATAGGTCACCCTTTGCTTCTTGACAACTCAAGTTGGGCCAGATCTGAGAGAGATATACTATGATGATGATGAGGAATGGGAATATATTTGAAGCTTCACTTCTAAATTTGGCATGTCCTTCCGCTTTAATTAAACACTACTTACGAGGACAGTGGCAATGCTTTTCATCTCCTTAAGGTAAATGACTCTTGATAGCTGCATTGCTTGCTGAAATGTTGAATGTTGTGAAGACTTAAGGCGGACTGAATGCTTAAATGGTGCAGGGTTGTACTGCATATAATTACCCTACAGCCTTTTGTGTTCATGATATGCTCGGGGCCTGTATAATGCTCAGCCAACAATGAACTCCACATAGCTTTGTGATTGGAAAATTTTGTGCTAGTAATGGTATCATGTAAGTGCTAGCTATAGGATGGTGCAATTATGAGATCAAATATGATTTTTCACCCATGGAAGATATGAAATGAGGGCAACATTTGTGGAAAGTTAAGACAGCTTACCCACGTCTCATTCAAACGTTTGTATCACCTGCATATGCATCAGCTCACCAGATATAATCTGTGTCTGAAATTTTTCAGACATGTAAAGGAAATTTCAGTCTGTTGTTTCTGCCCACATGTACCAGATTTTTTATGGCATTAGCATTGTTGGTTATTTCTCTGATATAATTGTTGGCAGTATCTTTTCCCGCCTCTGGTTATTTGAAACTTTCTTTCTCTGCTATTCAAGTTCTTATCTCTATTGCACTTTAAAGTGCTTG